GGCTCCTCAGCGAAAAGCTGAATATGCGCTGCATCTGCTGCCTACTTATACTCACGCTGTGATCAGCGGCAGCTGGATGCAATAATCGCATGCCAATGTGCATTGGCTCGTTTAGTTTACACTCAAAGTAGATTGGTCTCTCTAAGCGAGATCCCAATTCGTCGGTCATCTGACGTGACGTCGGGAGTGACCGACTGAAAGGGAACTAAGCTGTTCAATTGTCTTTATTTTGCATGATGCAATATATATATAAAAAGTAAAAAACTTAACTTAAATTTCCTCAAGGTAAAAGATTCTTAGCAGTTGTGTCTGATTTTAAAAAAGGGAAGTGTGCAACTACTGTGTGTTAGACAATGGTGACTTTTCCTTCATTAAAACCATAACTCGAGAGTCATTATTTACCAACGATGAATTCCATCTTAACTGGGATTAAAGTACTTATTTGTGTCTTTTGATGAACTATATCCTATATTTAATGAAGACATCCGAGTTGTTTTAAAGACACAAAACATTATGCAAAAATTCAAATTTTATATTACAAGATCCTGTTTTCCAAGCTCAGCATATACTACTGTATAGTGTATGACTATGCTAGCGTATAACTTTAAATGGAATTTTGTATATTGAGTTACTGATACTAAAATAAAGATGGACAAATATAGCACTTTCACAAAACAAAAAGTAGTAATTTTGCACAAAAGCAGTTTTCTCAGAATTAATGGCTCATGAGTCACACCATGCAGGATTCAAACCTACAAACTTTCGATTCAACCTGACAGTAACAAGTGCTTTAAAGATGGCCTGACATGTGCTACTACACGTTTTCCATCTTATCTAATCAAACCAGCTCAAACACCCCCTAAAATCTTTTAATGCTATTTCTATCAACATTTCCAGCTACTTGTCAAACCAGCCCTGCTGCTATGACAGGTGCTGATGTCTTACCTGCGTTTTTCTGAGAGCCATGTCTCACCGGTGGCTGTCCTGCATTACCAGTCTGTCAGAAACAAGAAATTGTCAACAAAATGCAGATTAATCCTTCCGAGCAGGATATAGCTCACGCTCTTTCCATGTAGGAGGAATCAAGTCACCGTTTTTAGTGTTCCTCTCTTCTAATGGAAACCTCTGAGTCAATCTCTTTTAATAATCCCAAAGTAACAGGAAGAAAATACAGTCATGTATAGACCACAGTTAGCCTTCTTGTGTCATCACAGACAGGATCAATGTATTAAAAACAGATTTATAACCTCTGGTCTGTTCCAACTTAAAACAATTTTAACTATTTGTAAACTAGAACGAATGTCCTTGGCCTAAAATCGGTTTTCTGAGCCAGCGCATTACTAACAGTCCAGAGCAGTGTTGACAAAAGGGAGACTCCCATTCTCTAACAGTGCACAAATGGGCCAATCATGAGAACATTTCTCTGTCCCACACTCACATGAAGAGCATCCGCTGGGATCACCATGACGAAGTTATCGGGAAAAAAGCCCCTGCGTCCGTTCAGTTCCCCCTCACTAACATCATCTGTATGGTATGGCATGTTTTTAGAGTTCTCACCACTTGGTGTTTTTCTCCGTAAACTTGGTCTCTGTTGTACTTTTCCCTGTATGAAAATTTTTTTTTAAAGTAAACAATATAATATAATATAATATAATATAATATAATATAATATAATATAATATTCACCTCTTTACTGAAGACTTCAGAGAGTTTAGGCCTGGCTGTGGCTTCAGTTGTCTTGCCATCTGCGGAACACAGATGTTTGAACACAGATGATTACTCAACCATTTAACAAGTTGGGTTTGGTGGGTGAATCTGAAAGCACATGTTGCCACTCTTCTGGTACGAAACCCTTAGGGAAGTCCTTTAAGAATAGATCTTTTCATTCACTGATAACTGCATAAGCTTTGTCTTAAGACTCTGTGTTCTCTGTAACTGTCTATTATGGGAATAGTGTTATTCAGACCTCAGTCAAGAGTCAAGAATAAAACAGCAAGCAACATCAGACAAACCTTAGGCTAACCAAAATCCAACCAAATCCAAAACAGTCAGACATGTCTGACAAACAGTACAGTGTTTAATTGCGTGGGGCCCCCCGGGGCCAGCCTGCTTAGGGCCCCCAGAACTATAAACACGCACATGCTGACAAAAACACTCTTCAGGAAGCATGTGTGGATTTGTCCACAAAAGACTTCATGAGGTTATGCTGCAAGATTCAACTACTGGTTCACCACAAAAACAGGACGCCCAAGTTACAACAATCTGTCACAACAATTATGGTGAGCACTGTATCCATTGTAAAGAAAATTCTCAGATTATATTATGCTAGATATGCAAAAGAAATGCAAGCTCCAGTTTTAGTGTACAACCTCACCTTTTGAAGGGACAAAAATTTCCTTCACAAAATTTGACGGAAAGGCTCCAACTCGGTTATTTTTCTTTCCAATCCACCACCCATCTTCAATCTGCCAGATAAAATAGAAAGTATAGCAGAACATTTGTTTAAAAAAACAACAACAGACATTTCTAAATTTAAAATCTGATTTGGAAACATAAACATTTCCCACATGTACAGTACATTTACTCATATGATGTATCCAAAATACTGTATAAAACGGTTAT